AGTGGGTTTGGTCCCAGTGTGATAAATAATGCAGACTGTCCTACATATGTCAGGAATCTTTTCTTAAATACATTGCAAGTTTTTTCTTTAATGAACATCCGAACCGTCTTTTTACAGCATTCGCCAACGGCCTCACCCCCCCCCCCCTCCTTACCACACTTATATATAATCACTTCCAAGTTTAGTAGGTTATTCGTAGCAAAATGGACGCGGTTAGGAGGTAATGAAAACTAAAATGGATTCTAAAGTTAACAAGAAACAAGCTTATCGAGACTAGAAAGCAACTATGGCAATCGTTTAGAAACTGAGCGAAAAGACAGTTCTACCCCTGCACAAGGAAGCGCGCGCGCGCAACCACACTGGACATGAGCTATGAGTAGATCCTTGCAAATACAATTAATTTAAGAGAGAACACAAACACCACATTAACGCAGTTGCCTGACACATGAACCAACCAGTCTGCCTCACATGCCCAAACAACTCTCAATTTAACATGTCAAGCTGATACGACCTCTTCTTATATCTACCCCGTTCTTTCTTCCCAGATAAAACACTTACTTTTTCTTCCTAACCACCATCACCACCTCCTCCTCCTCTCCCAGTTAGCAATGTACACCATTACCCATCCCCCGCTGCCCCCTTCCCAGATAGTAATGCCTCAGTTCCTCGCCGCCGCCTCCACAGGTAGTAAATTAACTCCCCTCCTCCCACAGTCCTCCTTCCCCAGGCAGCACACACTCGCCTCCTTACTCCTCTCCAGACAGTTATGTAAACCCTTACTAATATCCCATTTTTCTACAGGTAGTAGATTACACCTTCCCCGTCCTTCCTCACGAGGCTTTATCCAGCACGTGTTTTACCTGGAAATGTTCCAATGGGGTGTGACAACGTTTGAGAAATATATCCACATCGGTGTGTGGAAGAGTCAGCTGGGCACGTGTTGTTCCACACAACCTGGTTGGCAACTATGCTATACTGCGTGCCAAGAAGTGCAGGGAAAGGGGTTGATGAGGGAGGTGGAAAGGGGGAGGGAGCGGAAGAACGAAGGTGGATGAAGGAGTAGGGTAACTCTGGTAAACCACTGAGGTGGTTCATCAGAGGTTTAAGTGAGGCCCAAGTGAAGAACTGGAAAAGCAGACAAATAATCAAGAGTGAATGATAATTATAAGATTCTGGCCAGAGGGACGAGTTGTTGGTGTATCGCCACATGGTGTAAAGGAACAAACACCGCCATATAGTGTATTACAATGTACACAGTTGACATGTGAACTATTCTTTTCTGCTGCAACATTCATGTCACTACCCGTACAACTTTTTACCCCTAAAAATCTTGCATATTTGTTAAATGACACAAAACTTAAATTGTAATGTAATTAAGGCTGTTCACAACTTGAGTGTTGTAAATTCTATGTTCCTTCACTCTGCTAAGTTCTATGACAGCTCCAAAGAGCGTGTTCTCCCCACACACTTTACATTATCTTCCTCTCTTGAGTTGCTACACCTTCAACTTTCAAATTTTTCATTTTTATTAGACTTTCATTTCACCAAAATATTCATGATATATTTGGTTAGATAACGTTACTGTAAGTATAAAGGTGGGCATAGGTGTAGACAATGATATTGTCATTATAAAGGTAGTGATACCAAGTATTGAAACACTCAAGGATAGAATTGGTAGTAACCAAAAGCGTGTTAACTGTTTGGACTGTAACTTATCTATACAAGGCAATGGGTTCACTTACATGGTAAGTAACACGCATTTGCAACACTACTAATCTTACTGATTAAACGTTTAGTCAATAAAGATTGTCAGTGTTGCACCAGCATCTTATCCACCTTTCGGTACTGTATACCATTTATTATATCACTCTCGAATGGCACTGCTCAATAAACTCGCCCGAGAGGGGTGAGTTTATTGAATGTTTACTCAGGCCTCACAATCAGAATGAAAGATGGAAAGTGATTTGTAAGGTGGAGAGGAAGGGTGAAGTCGAGTGGGAGATAAAAGTTAAAGGTGACAAATGAAGCACGAGGAAAAATCTGCAAAATAGGAACAAGTGGAAGGGAGCGTAGGTGACAGAGGAAGAGCGGAAAAATCATACATCAACAGCATCGCTTACTTGCAGCCTTAAACGAGCGAAAGCGAGATTCTAAGAACGTGGTTGATCAGTGTACATACGAGGTGTTGGGTGTGGTAGTATGTCAGTGCAGCGGTTCTTTACGGGATGTGGGGGGTCTCCCCCCTCCAAGGAGGGAGTGAATAATTTCTAGGCGAAAAGGGGGACACGAATCCAGAGCAAAAATAAGTAATATGTTGTGTATTTGCGATTTGCTAGAATCGTTTAGGCAGTTAAAATAATAGTGTTTAATTAAAATAGTTTCTCAATTTTCTTATTCAAATAGAGGACTTTATATAAAAAAAAATTTATATTAAAAATTCTATGCGAAGGCAAGAGGGAGGAAGGGAAGCGAAGAGACGGGGACCAACTGAGATAATGGGCGCCACTCAAAATCGGATAAGAACCACTGTTAGACGTTGTTTGAAGGCTGTATTCCAAGTACGTAGTCATGTCTCCTCCCTCCCTAATCTCATTACTTTGCGTTGAACAAGACTAAATTACAGGAGCCACAGAGAGATTACATTAAGTGTAAAGGGATCACGACTCCAGCACCCACCCTTCATACACAAGAAAGATTACCAACAGACCCTTGTCTGATTTCAAGAAGGAAATCGGCAAATTCCTCAAATCAGTTCCTGATCAGTCAGGTTGTGGTGCAAACGTTGGACTGAAGGCGGCGAGCACTAACAGCCTGATCGATCAGGTTAGCAATCAGGAGGCCGGTCTGGGACCGGGCTGTGAAGGGTGAGATGAGCTACGGAAGCAACTACGGGTAACTACAGTTTGAGTCGCCCTGGAGCACTTCACTACATTTTTAATGTACAATATTATCCTCGTTAGTTTCACACCTGCCACCAGTGATACCTGGGGTCTACCTGAAAGTCGTTCCGAAGGTCAACGCTCCCGCAGTCCAGTCCTTGACCAGGTCTCCCGGTAGATCAGGGCTTGATCAACCAGTCTGTTAATGTTCCAGGTTGTGTGTGTGTACTCACCTAGTTGTACTCACCTAGTTGAGGTTGCGGGGGTCGAGTCCGAGCTCCTGGCCCCGCCTCTTCACTGATCGCTACTAGGTCACTCTCCCTGAGCCGTGAGCTTTATCATACCTCTGCTTAAAGCTATGTATGGATCCTGCCTCCACTACATCGCTTCCCAAACTATTCCACTTACTGACTACTCTGTGGCTGAAGAAATATTTCCTAACATCCCTGTGATTCATCTGTGTCTTCAGCTTCCAACTGTGTCCCCTTGTTACTGTGTCCAATCTCTGGAACATCCTGTCTTTGTCCACCTTGTCAATTCCTCTCAGTATTTTGTATGTCGTTATCATGTCCCCCCTATCTCTCCTGTCCTCCAGTGTCGTCAGGTTGATTTCCCTTAACCTCTCCTCGTAGGACATACCTCTTAGCTCTGGGACTAGTCTTGTTGCAAACCTTTGCACTTTCTCTAGTTTCTTCACGTGCTTGGCTAGGTGTGGGTTCCAAACTGGTGCCGCATACTCCAATATGGGCCTAACATACACGGTGTACAGGGTCCTGAATGATTCCTTATTAAGATGTCGGAATGCTGTTCTGAGGTTTGCTAGGCTAGGTAGGTAGGTAGGTAGGTGTGTGTGTGTGTGTGTGTGTGTGTGTGTGTGTGTGTGTGTGTGTGTGTGTGTGTGTGTGTGTGTGTGTGTGTGTGTGTGTGTGTGTGTGTGTGTGTGTGTGTGTGTGTGTGTGTGTGTGTGTGTGTGTGTGTGTGTGTATACACACAAACACGGTTGTTCTGCATATTGTGATATCACAATATGCAGAATTGTGATACAAAGGTGGGGCATAGCGAGAAACAAAGGCAGATATAGATAGAGACATGGTATCACCAAACTTGGAGTCCAAGACTTGTGTAAAGCACAAGAGACCAGATGTGCTGCGGTGGCTTATTTATCCACGATAACTGACACTCCAGGGAAAAACAACCATCACTAATTAACCCACAGTCCGACCCCCCACCCCCGCCACTTGTGGCTCATCACCTCAAGGCTTGATACCAGCGAGGGACTCTTGATGCTAGGAATTGAACCTGTCCTTCCCTTCCTTGGAGCAAACCATTCCCTTCTGGGTTGAGCGATATAATTTCATGACATTTTTCCAATACCTACCGTCTTCCTCCAATACAGGGTGATAAAAAGGAAACACATTCGCTATCATTCATTCAACAGAAGTTATGCCAAAAGTGTAGATATCATCTTCAAATTCCAGGTCCTCCTGAGATACGATAATTCCAACGTTATCACCCCAATTATTCTGGAATGAAACCATAGTAGAATGCTTGAAGATTTCCTCATCACAACACTTAAGTCTCCCATGTTATTGTGGTATATTAAATTACATCTTACCATTCCATCCCGGGTGATGGATCACGACAAGCAAATACTGCCAGCTGTTGTTAATTCCATGCAATTATCATATAGTCTAAGATATAAATAATAATTAACATTTTTATTCCATATATTTTATCTTAGTTCATTATACTTTTAAACAAGTTGCAATCAATTGCATCCTATAATAACTGTAATCAAATATATAGCGTATAGTTTCCTATCATTTAAATCTGAAAAAATGCACATACTTTCCCATCATTTAAATCTGAAGAAATGCACAACTCAAATTTCTCAAAATGCCATAGAATTATAAACACACGAACTGTCTTATCAAGCTTCACAATATCTACACCAACACAATGCATGTATATTAAATTAGATCAGATTAGTAGACACGCCAAAAAAAAAAAACATGCTTGCAAAACTACATCTACAGTAATTAGTCACACGGTAATTCAGAGTTAATTCGAGGAATCAACAGTTTTGAGTACTACAGGGTCGGGTGTCTCACACAACAGTACCGGCGGCGCGAGGCGTCAACGCTGTGGTTGTATCCAGTTTCTGACATATAGAGAAGAGCTTCCTGGGTAAGGTCGTCTTCAAGAGGTTCAGGAGAGTTTGTGCTGGCTCTTCTTGTGACTAGGCTACTGAATGAGGAAGGCCTTGGTCGAGAGAGTAGGTGGGGAGAGATTTCTAGCTCGACTCTATATTTCGAGTTGGCAGAGTGAGCCCTTCGTCTAGAACGAGATTGTCTGCTCTGCGGCCTTGATCCTTCTCGAGGCACCGAGGATGTGTCGCGACTTTTATGTGAGCCAGAGGGCGGCAGCGGCGATGGTGGCGGCTTCCCCATGTCACAGGACGAGGCACTAGCAGGTCGGTATGGAGGGTCGTCTTTGAAGTGCCCCGAACATCGGCAGTCAGGAGTGGGCGTGTCCTGCAGGTGGGCACAGCCACTGCCTTTCGGGCAGCCGGCACTCTCAGGGTAGGACTGTTGGCACCAGGGCCCAACCCCCATACCCCACCGCCCGCCTAAACATGACATGACTTCTGCCAAGAGAGACTGATGGTGGTGGTGATGTTGGCGTAGGTGATGTAGATGGTGCTGGTGAAGTTGTTGATGATGGTCCCACACGGTCTTATGCCACTCCCAAGCAGCTGTGTGTGGCTCCCACCCAGGAACATCATGTTGGCTGTCACTGGAACACTTCGGCGGTGCTGACTCTTTGTTCGGTTCTCTTTCATCTACCGAAGAAGTCTTGCGATTAAATTGTAGAATTGGTGATATAGGCTGAACTTCTTCAGGAATGAATTCCTCGTCCATTGTGGAGCACTCTGATGGATCATGATACACTGGCTGGTACTCGTCACTCGCTCGAGAGACGAGGGGCGGAGACTTTGACGCCTCACTTTCTACACAATCAGAAGTGTTTACTTTGTGTAAGTACTCCGGAAGATCTGTAGACCGTGTTTCCTCCCACTCACTATCATCAACTTCACCAACTGTGGTCCACACGCCAGACAAACGACGCTTCTGTGTATTGGGTTCGCTAGAGCAGCTTTCTTCAATTATGTCAGAGTTGCTTTCATGGACACTGCGCAGGGGACTTTGTTCCTTTACGTTTTCATACGTGGGTTCGTAAACGCGTTCCTCGTGTGTGGCACTGAGGTAGACCTTACCGTAGTAGTCGCTGCTAGAGACACTGGACCTCATATCAGAGTCTGTGGTGGCCCAACAGGGAGTGGCATGAGCCAGGTCACTCTCCCTTTTACCAGAGTCTTGTGAACCTAACGAATCCAGGTAACCGCCGTGAAAAGTTGGAAAACTACAACCGGACAAGCTCGACCTATTGGAGGAGTCTGTCCCGGCCACGCAGGGCACTGCATGAACCATTCCATCACTTACCAGCGGCTCATCCTCAGATTCACGAATAGATAATTTTTCAGAATCACACGTTGAATGACAAATATCAGAAGAATCACATTTTTTTGCCTCTTCTATATCTTTAATATCACTGCATAATTCATAATCATCGCTATCACTATCTGTATCATTATCACTATCACCACTATGTATCGATGTTGAGGATATAACGTCTGCATCCTCAGTGCGAACACGAATCTTAATCTCTCCCTCGGAAAGACTGACATCAACATCACAGTTGAGGTCCCCGCTGATGGTTCTGGAAATGTTGGTAGCGCTAGTATGATCCTGGGGTTTGACTGGTGTAGCAGGTGCTGGCGCGCCCTCAGCAATAGTTTCCTGAAGTGGGGTCAACGGTTCATACTGTGGACACGTGACGAAGGAGTAGCGCGCTGTGGCATCGTCATTGAATGATTTGGGGCGGTCGTACACTGATCCCGCGGCACTGTAGTAAAACGATGTTGATTCCGACGCTACAGACTCAGCTGAGGGAGAGTTTGAGAGCCGGCCCTCGTGTGAACCATCAATAGAACTGTCTTCCCATGTGTCCTCGGCCTGAGGTCTTCTCCAACGTGTAGGAGATGAGGGCAACGACCCTCCTGACGTGACTGACGACTGAGATGTCCTGCGAGCCCGGGAAGATTGAGGGGGCGTGGTGGGCAAAGAAGGTGGTCGAGAACGTCGCCGGCGACCAGGTGTGCTAACGGAGTCTGCTCCAGAAGAAATAGCGGAGTTGCCCTTCTTGATGCATCTCCCACTCTCCACATTTTCACTAATCCTGTACCACTCATCGCTATAATTCCCAAAACGAATTCCATTCATCTCTTTTCTCGAGTCAGTGGTATGTGTTTGGTTGTTTTCTTTATCTCTGCTCGATCCGCTGTTGTTTTTCCCTGATCCACTAACAGGTTCCTCTGTCACCCCTCTGACATTATCCCCGAAACTGCATCTTCCCAAATCGCTATTATTTTCATGTCTGCGTTTTTTCTCCCCGTTTGAATGACCGCTGCTCGTTCCTGATGTTTGATGCAGTAAACTGTTGCTGCCCCCACCATGTGCTCCAGCTGATTGTGAACTAGTGTGTTCCCCTGACGTTGATTGCACACTCCTGTGGCTATCTGATCCTTGTCCGAGAATGCTTGACCTCACAGGCGACTGGGAAATCTCTACTACACTTGTAACAATATTTGCCTCGTTGGTGGCACGGTTATTTGCAGATGTGGGACTTTCAAACTTCTCAAAAGAATGTTTTTCATGAAAGGTTAAATTCTCATAGGCTGCTTGTGTGTGTACGTCGGGATGTTGGTGATCGTCGGTGTTGGTGTCGTTTGGGTGTTGGTGAGCGTCAGTGTGGGTGTCGTGAGGATGCAGGGCGGAGGCGGGCAGATTGCACCGGAAGTTCCTTTCTACTGAGTGTGATTTTGGCTCCTGGCCACGCCTCGCTTGTGGACTCGCTTGCGGGCTCTCAAAACGATACCCACTCTTTTCGTTACTCCCATTTATAATTGTTTTACTTGGAGATATTTCGGTGTTTTTGCGACGTGTGGGCGGTGTTGGGCCGACGACGTTATCTGCAGAGTCATGGCTATTCTTGCGGGCGCGTCGTGGTCGTGGGCTGGGAACTTGAACGTCATTGGAAATGGTGTGTGATGAGCCGCTTGCGCTATCTTTAGTGTTGGCTGGCACCTGTATTACCTCAATTTTAGTGGAGATGGCCACGTGAGGCTTGCCATCACCCAATGACGTTGTGGGAGGGCGGGACCTACACTCAGCAAGCTGGTCACCGCTGTTGGGCGTGGGATAGCCGCACCCTGAAGTACGCCCACAAGGAAAGACTATACCACTGCTTCCCTCACTCACCACCCGTTCTCCATGCTCCTTCCTACCACTTTCCTGATTATCATTACCTGTGCCCACGAATCTCAACCGTGGGCCAGCCGAGCCAATGGCATTCAGAATACCAGAGAAATACTTACGAGGTTTTGATTTGGACTTGTTTTTTGAGTTGCTCTTGCTGGAATTCCTTGTTACTTTATCATGCTTTGCATCGCTCACTGATTCCGGGGTTTTAGCATCAATATTGGATAGTTTAAATTCGTGCGCCAAGAGCCCGGGAGACTCTGGGAGTTTGGGGCGAGCATCGCCGATGTTGTACTCTGAAATACAGATGTTGCTGTTGGGAAATGAGGAGCTGAGAAAGGTGGGTGGATGCTTGTGTCTGCTGCCTTGGCTACCACGGAACTGGGGCGGCCCAAGCACCAACTCACTCTTTTGCACTGTGGCCCCACCACCACCCTGCTCGCACTCCCCGTGGGGGGAAACGAGCGTCTGGCTGTCGCTCTGCTCCCCACAACTCACTGGCACTTCGACTACTGTTCGTTGCGTCGCTTGGGCAAATTTACGATCACTGCCAGTACCCACCTGCACACGGTGCAGGTGGAATTCGTTACCGAATACCTTGATCGACGAGGAGCTGGTGGTGCCGGAGCCGCTGTCAGCAACATTCTGCCGTCGGCGACTATGACCCGGGGACTGTGGGGACAACTTTTTCGACGTTTTGGATTTGAGTTTTGGTCTTGTGTGGCAGCAGCTGCTTGTGCCGCTGGATGAGGAGAGGGTGTCAGTACTAGCTGTGCTAGCTCTCCAATCTGGTGACGTCCTTACACTCCGTGAGGAATCCATGCTGGAGAACTGCTGCGACGGGTCAGCTTTAAGCAGTAGTCTTAACCTCTGATTGCTCCCACTAACTAACCTATCGTTCATTTGATGACTTTCACTTTTTACGCTAGACCCATCCTGAGGTTCGATGTTTTGGTAGGTACAGCTGTCATTCTCATATACCTTACCGGCTGATCTTTCCCTCGACCCCAGAGGAAAGAACTGTGGGGGCGAGACAGAAGGCTGGGTAAGAGCAGTGGACCCTGTGCATGATTTAGTTTCATCGTCCTTGCTGGGTCTCCGAGGAAGAGGTGGCGTCAGGTGAATGGTGACGTTGCTTTTATTCATCTCACTGTCCCGCTGCACTTTATAAACACTCGCACCTTCAGCGTGGCCTTGCTCGATTGCACCCTTTATCGTGTTTCCAGCTTCTTCAACTGCACTCCCACTTTCGTCCTGGTTCTTAAGTGTTCTGATTCCGTCGGTTAGATGAGTGGTGTTCTGACTCTCCACCTCAGCTACTTTATAACCCACCTGGACTTCGTCTTCCTCGTTATTCACTGAAGTATTCTCAGTGTCTCTCCCCTTGCTCTCTCCTCTCTCACTTGGCATGCCACACTCTCCTGACGTGGCCACGGTTGCACAAGACAATGGTTTTGTTGTTTCAAGTTCCTGAGCTGCTATACTCTCCCTGAGGATGGAGAGGGCATTTTTGATGACACTGGCGTTGAGGATGGAGTGGGAGTCATGAACAGTAGACGAGTGGTGAATAATTAGACCCTGGCTGAGAACTCTCTGGGTTCTCTCTGTGGTGCTATCGTCTACACTCACACTCCCCTCTACACTATTATCCCGACAGCCAGGGCGCTCACCACACCTTTCACTTTCTTCTATACTTACTTTGTCCACAGTTTTGCGAACACACTCACACACGACCTCCCGGAACTCAGTCTTTCCAGAACCAGTTTTATATTTTCCATTAACAAATTCCAGGTTTTCTACTCCAGCAGTGAACACATGAGCGTCTGCTTCCTGTGTATCAGAGCTTGTGTTAACAGAGTTCAGTGTACCCTCGCCACCCACTCGCGCGCTGTCATTTCTAGTACTTTGGCAATTAACTTTGGAAGGTCGCCTCTTCCTGTCGAGGTCGTGTTGAGGAAACTGCAAAAGTTTATGTTCTTTCACCTTGCGGAGGCCGAGCCTTAGACGCGAGAGCTTAGTCTCGTCAACACTGCAGGACTTGCGGGTCTGGTAGCCACATACCAGCGAGTGTTTATATGGGATGGCGTGGGCGGTAGCCTCCCCACCCTGCCCCTCCACGCCACTAACTTCATCCCGCCACCATCCTCGCCCGACACCATTCTTAGTGGCACTGCTATTGCCTCTGCCGCTAGAGTAGGCAGCATCTCCAAGCGGTGCCGCCGCCGCCGCAGCTTGGCCCAATTGTTGTCCCCGCAACTTGGCCCTTACGTCACTAGGTAGTCGTACGTCTGGCGCACTACGCCAGCGGCGCCACACCTGCCTTAGTGTATCCTTGTCGCTGGGCTCAGCGTCAGCCTCGTAACCCTCAGAGTCGTCGGTAAACCACGAATTACTCTCGTCCGTGTCACAATACGTGGTATCAACACTTGGACTTCCGCAATCTACCCCTTTTCCAACGTTGCCTTTTTCGTTCTCCTCAGAAGACGAAGAACCAGAAGCCGAACCCGTGGAAGACGACGACGAGGAACAGGATGATGACTTGTGAAGACCTGCAGATGAGCCCTGCAGAGCTAGATTTTCAACGATGATCGAGCTCTTGGTCTCAGCAGGCGGAAGTGACGCCTCAGACTTGTTTACATCGCAGTCAGATAGGGAGGTGGACTCCTTGAAGTACTCCTCCACGGGGTCTTGAAAGTACTCTTCCACCACCTGCTTGACGAAGGCCTCGTCCTCGTGCCACGTCTTGCGCTCCCCAAGTAACGGGGAACCAATCTTCTGAAGCCTGGAGAGCGTCTGCCCAGTGCTGGGTTTGACTTCACTGCCGTCCCTCAGCACCTCGCAAGACGCCACATGATAGTCGAGGTGCGACTTCTCAACGAATATAAAGCTTTCCTCCGCCACTTCATCACCACCGGTGACACCAACGCCACTAAAACTCACAGGTCCACTCCCACTGCCTGATTCACCACCACCAATACTTTGCCCACCACCACCATCACCCATGCTTGTCCCACCACCATAAAAAGCAGAATTCAGAGAGTTAAGCCTGGCGCTAACACCAAGTGCAGTTACCCCACGGCGCCTCATGTTGCCAGCACCATAGTTACCCAAGCTGGGTCTCACCCCATCAGTAGCGGCGGCGACGGCCCGACACCCGTAGGCGAGAGACTCACAGCTGGCGGCCCTGGCGTGGCTCAGGGAGTGACGTTTGAGGTGTTCCACTCCCTCATACCCACCATACGAGTCACCACCGGAGGTCTCGCCCACGCTGTCCTCTATGTTGCTCAAGTGCATGCACGAGAGAGAAGCCCACCTGTGGCGTTTCTTCCGCTGGCGGTGTCGCTGGCCAACACCGTCCCAGTACTGCTTGTATACCTTGCGGTCATCACAGGCCCTAGGGTTTATGCCCACCTGTTGAAGCAGCGCCCGCCGGTGTTGTTGCGCTACCTGTTGATGCAGGCTGGCCTGCTGCACAGCCTGCTCGGGAAGCTGTGCTGGAGACATGTTTTCGTCGTCGCTGTCGTCCTCCTCGTGGTGACACTCCAGGGTGGACGAATGTGGACCAAACAAGAGGCGGTGCACAATGCGTCGCGGCAACGACAAGTGCTGGTGTTGCTCCCGGTGTGCAGAAGACTTGTAGTACAGTGGTTGTTGCTGCTGTTGCTCAGCTGATGCAGTGGCAGAAAACCCACTTTTCTTCTTTGGGCTCAGTGTTATACGGAAAGGTTGAGTCTTGGAGCGCCACTGTACGTTGACCTGGTACTGACCAGGTTTGAGAGTAATGGTAAAGTTCTTAGTAGATTGGTGCTGGTGATCATCACAACCAAACTGCCCGAACTGTGACTGATGCTCAAACTGTTCATGTCCTGAATAATGTTGCTGTCTAAACTGCTGGGAGCTAGAGCGCTGCTGTTGCTGTGGGAAAATTGGTGGCTGAGTAAACTGGTAGTGGTGACGCTGGTGTGTGGGTTGTGTTGGGTGAGGGCGAGGCGGCGGGGGCTCTGCTACGTGCGAAGACCTGTGGTACTGGAAGGGTGTTGTGGGTGGAATTTTGATCTCCGTGTCGCATTCACTCCGTCCGCCACCAACACCCACTGACCCAAGGGAGCCAGTGGTGCCGTTGACAACGGGAGCCCCGTGGAATCTGTTATTCACAGTCTTAGCCTTGGGGAAATGTTTCAAGAGGTAGGACGTGAGATGCCTTTTCTCGTAACTCTTATGATGTCCTGGATAGAGCTGAGAAGGCTGCGCGTTCAAATTATTCCTAAAAATATCATCATATTTAGGTGGCTGGTCGAGGGACTCCCCATACTGGATGTTGGCAGCTTTAAGTGTGTGTGAGTTGGCGGCGGCGGCGGGGTAGTGTTGCTGTTGCACGGGAGGAAACTGCTGGTACAAATTACAGTGTTGCTGTGGTCCACCAAGTTCCGTGCCGGAGACTCTGCTGGCCTGCTTAAGGTGCAGTGTAGCCTGAGGATGACCTGCACGCAGGTCCAGGTTTACCCTCACCACATTGTCCTGAGGGACTACCTTGGCTTGAGGGCCACGTCGTCGACGTCTACCTTCTGCCATGGGCGCACCTGGCGTCGAGGACTGGGCCTGGCGTCAAGGACTAGGCCTGGCGTCAAGGACTAGGCCTGGCGTCAAGGACTAGGCCTGGCGTCAAGGACTAGGCCTGGCGTCGAGGACTGGGCCTGGCGTGGTCTCCTTCGCCACCCTAAGTCTTGACTTTATCATCAGTGGCCAGTGTCTCGCGCATGATCGTCTGGAAGCCACAACGCATCATTACACATTTCACGACATCCTGCCTGAAACCCTTATGCACCACACAGTTACACATACATCGGCTACAATACCCACTATTCCTCAACACGAAATAGCATGAACGTTTGCTTATCTACTGAAGACTAGATATAGCAATCACATCGGAAAAATAAATTAAACACTTAACACCAACCTCATCAACCGATCATAAAGAAAACAAAAATGAACTACTGACTCTAAACTAATCTTTTCCGTTACTTTACAAAAGTCACAAACATAGCAAAATATTAAAGTAGGAAAGAGCATTTTGCCTATAATATTATCAAGAAATTCTTGAATGCTGTTTGCTAAGATGAGAAAAAAAAGAGAAACTCAAACTCCATCAGAACTCTGGTACAAACCAGCTTCAACACATCTCAAATCTATTACAATCTCATCCGCAATCTCTGCGGGTTTGTGACATTTACGATTAGGCAGCCCAAATCAGGGACAAGATGAAAGGTTAGGTAACATTATTATAATCCCCTTTCCCTTTGCCCTTAAACTCCATTCTGCTCCCCACAAACACCCCCTTCTTCCCCCAACCTTTCCCCTCACGCACGACTATCTCTTCCTAATCCTGTCTATCCTCTCTTCCATGGTATATAATCCAATGATATACCCATATTTCTCCTTATCTGTATCAACTATGACCACCTGATCACCCGGGCTGTGGCGCCTACGGTACACTGCGACCGGCTAGCACCAACAAGCTGACTTATCAGGCCATCACCCAGGAGAAATTACCTACCCCCAATTACGGGTGAAACTGCCCATTACCTAGACACTGAATGACCCAACACGTTTATTATTATTATTATTATTATTATTATTATTATTATTATTATTATTATTACGATACTGTCCAAGCTTCAATACAAATGTTTTCTATGGTTCCCTTTAATGTTTAACGTGAGATATTAGTAAGTTCTTCACTCTGACATTAAACACAGCTCAAACATGCACACTAACATCTCCGTAACAACAATAATGTACATTAATCCTAACTTTATCAACGTTACACTGCAATCTCCCTCAACTTGTATAATAAACATTAAACCCTTTCCTTAACACTAAACATTGCCATCTCTCCACTAAGCAATAACTGAATCAATTAGCACCACGCTACCTATTAACACCACACCAATTACCACACTGCCTATGAACACACTACACCTATTAACACACTACACCTATTAACCACACATACAACTATATTAACACACTACACCTATTAACACACTACACCTATTAACACACTACACCTATTAACACACTACACCTATTAACACACTACACCTATTAACACACTACACCTATTAACACACTACACCTATTAAACACACACTGCTTATTAACACTACCTATTAACACCTATTACCACACTGCATATAATCACGCCACCTATTAATACCACGCCACCTATTAATACCACGCCACCTATTAACCACACCACCTACTTCCAGCAAAGGAAAGGTATTGATCATGTATACATTACTAACACCTTCAATACGTGCTAAACATTACCACCTCCATCAAACATTACCACCATCACCATCAAGCACTGCTATCAAACATTACCATTATCATTACCACCATCATGAACATTACCACCTCCATCACCATCTAACCTTCCAAAAATTTACATGTCCAATGTTTTAATTTTTGACCTACTTATTTTAGCGAGTTAATCTGTCCTTGATACAATTATTACTATACAATGTAACTTAAGTCCTGCTAGATTTATCTTGCCAAGACTAAATTACGTAGTTTTTGTAAAGTTCAGCTGGTTTTCGAGTAATTACAATGAGTACGCATCGTGTATATGTATTTTTTGGTATAAATTTTAGTTTCGTTCTGTGATATCCTCAACTTTCATTTCCGCTGTGGAGGGGACAGGTCACACTGAAAGGTGATATTTACCGTGTTTGTTATACGTTTGAAGAGACTTAAGATTTCTCTTGTTCCCTTTCCAGTAGCTCTGCTAGAATAAAAGGCTTCAGTAGCTAGAGAACCCGGAATAGAATGCTCGATTATATCCCCAACGTCCTGAGGTCTCCCAGTTCAGGATGACATTTAGCTAGCTGATTAACGAAACCAATCCTGTGTGATGGAATATGCTAGGGAAATAACTATCTTTTCTTCCCTCTATGTAACTGCTATAAAGTGGAGCATAGCAGCACACCAATGATTTCCAACATTTAACATTACCATCGTCTTCCCCCAAAGTCAAACTATCATCTCTTAAAGCTTATTATATCCTAACCAACAGTAAACATTTCCAGGTAATATATCACCGTCATATCTATCGCCCCAACACATCAAAAATTCGTCTATCAATATCCATAACACTATACATGTCTATCTCAACATCAAAAAACGAAATAAGACGAATACAAATCGGCCATACTGTAAACACAATAAATATTCCCTCATTCTAATACCTGCGGCGAAACAAGACTTAAATCTCACACATCCATTATTGTAACTTTAAAACCTATCCATTAATATAACTATAAAACTCATTTCTCTGCAATGTGCGGTGCCATAAACACAAACCAAAAATTCTACACCGTTTTAATAGCAGGTTTTGTTAAGTTAATTAAAGCAAGATAAAGTCAATTTAAGTCAAAACTATATAAATACGCACCGGCCTCTGTTCTTACTCTCAAACATCTGTTTATATTCCCAGTGTCGTTTCGCTGGCCTGCTCCACCAGTCACACCGTCCACAATCATTAAATATGGTAACCAAAGTTCAGTGGACAAGGCCAATCACTATCAATGTGGTTTTATTAGTCCTATCAATATTAGGACAGTTCCTGAACCCACTGTGTACGTTCATAATCTATCTTGACTACCACCCACGGGTTGGGTATGGGATACCCAGTAAAACTATATCAACTCCACCAAGGTGTGCTAACCTTTCTAGCTACCCGAGTTGATCTTTGAATGTTGTGTTGAAAGCTGGTATCTACTCCTCTTGAGCCTTCACAGCTACATATGCTCTAACTAGCCACCGCTACCTGCACCGGCAGCTACTACGTATATGTATACGTGATATCCTTTGATTTGTGTTGATAACTGATCTACTAGTCTAGGGGGCCAAAAAACTGCAAACACTGGTGGCAAAAACTGCAAACCTCACTCAAGGAAAAGTATCTTCGAGTGAGCATAATACCTAGCACATCTGAGGCGCACATCAACCAAATAACTGATGCAGCATATGGACGACTAGCAAACCTAAGAATAGGGTTCCGACACCTCAATAAGGAATCGTGCAGGACTCTATAGACAGTGTACATAAGGCCTATATTGGAGCATGCAGCACCAATTTGGAACCCACACCTGGTTAAGAACATCAAGAAATTAGAGAAAATGTCAAGGTTTGCAAGAAGACTAGCCCCGGAGCTAAGGGGCATGTCCTACGAGGAGAGGTTAAGGGAAATTGACCTAACGACACTGGAAAGGACAGGAGAGAGGGGGACATGATAATGGCATATAC